TGGCCTGCTGTGTTCATCCAGCTCTGCACCTTGTTGTCTCACCTCAGAGAGATGCACTCAGCTTTTGAAGAAACTTCATTTTCTTCTATTTTCTATAGTGTGTGAATGTCTGGATTGCTGTTGTATCTTGTTTGATGTTTCACCCTGTGTTCAAACATGTATTGCCACTACATTTTTCTTTCGTTTTTAAAAAAAAAAACAGCGCAATCACCATGTGCTATGTTACAATGATACCAGTTTGACACCCTGTAGTAATGCTTTCTAAATGTAGCATAAATGAGGTACATGGATTCCATTTACATGAAAACTAGTACAGATAGGATAGAGTAATCACTAGAGACAGCCTTTGTCTAGGATGCTAAAATGTAGAGTGACAGTGGCCATGTGACATCCAGGTACCTGGCTCATTCGCATGTTGAGCTTCCTAAATGGACATCAGTCTTAAAGTGATAAGACTATAGTCTACCTCTCTCGAGGCCTGGTTTTCACTGCCTGCAGCTGATTTTGTTTTTTGGGTTTTTCTATTGCATTTTCTCCTTCAACCTAAAGCTCATTTAGATGTGAGATGTTACCCCATTTCGCAGGGGAACAAATATAGAAAACAGAGAAGACAGCTGCAGTTGTATGGGACGGTAGCATTTGGTCAGTTCCAGTGCTTACTGCTGCTTTTCCCTTTTGAGATGGCTCATTCTGATGGTGCCATGGTAGTTTGCTTTGGCTTTCTTTTAATGTCATTGCCATCTTAATCAAAGTTGCACTTTTCACTTTACGATCTCGCGCTTCTGCTTGTGGCATCATGTTCTAACCCCAACTTTACTGAATCGCCATCTTTTTAACTACACCAATGTAATTAAGTAGTACTTATGCTTCAGCCCAGCTCACTGTATCCCTCCACCTAATCTTGAGACGAGCCTTCTTTCCTTTGTTCCCGATCAGAATGTTCTTTTCTTCCTCTTTTTGTATTCCACAGATCACTAGCTGAGCTACCCTCATTACAACGTGAGCCTTCAATTCCTCTTCATTTCTTTCTTATTCCCTTTCTTTACCTCTATTAATTTGTTTTCAGAAGGTTGTATGGCTTTTTATTCTTGCCTTCTTCCTAAATTTATTCTTGCGCACACATGTATTTCAAACAGCCATAGTTATTTCTTTCGTATTCTGCACACCCTCAGAGTCTTGGCCAGTCACTGGTGGACAGGATTGGACTGTCACTACCTCCTATACCCTTTAGTTCCTGCCTAAATACTCATTTCTACTACCAACCTAAATTTCAGTTCTCCAGACCATTCTTCCTGATTACCCACTATTCCAGTCCCTCCAAATACTAATTGCAGTACTTCTCAGCCTCCTCAACTATTCATTTAATTCCTTCTTCGAGTATTAATTTCACTACAACGGATTGCCTGATCATCTGTGATGAAGAACTGTCTGTGGGATCTTTGTGTGAAATTTAACTGTAATGTTTCCTATGTAACAAATAACAGACGATAAATCAAAAGTTCTTTGGATTGTCCGATGACAATGAAAGGTGCCCAGAAATGCATGTCCTTGCTTGTCTTTACTCCTTTCTCCAAACACCTTTCTTACCTTCCCATGGCTACTCATTTTCCAGCCTCCTGTTTCCTCTCGCATCATTTCGTCAATACTTGCAAGCCCAAAGTATATCATTACTGTACATTTAATGATGTCAGAATTAACACCTGATCCAAATTGGTGCAAACAGCCCTCATAAGCATGCACATTGATATTTAGAGTTGAAACGCAGATACTTGATACAAATTAATTTTTTGCCCACTTATGGGACATTCTTTTTATTCCTCTAGCTATAAAACAGGTAAAACTAACACTCCCACATCATTTGTAGTGATAACTTGTATATTTATTGCAACAATGCTTCATTAAATCTCCATGCAATTTGATTCTTCTTCCCATGTTCCCTCACACACCCATTCCATTTTATCGCTCCTTGCCATCCTGTTCATGATTTTTCTGCCTTTATTACATTCAAAATTGTGGTTGCTCACCTTCCTCGGTTTTCCTGCCTTCTGAAGCCAGGTTATTTCTTAGGTTATTTCTTCCTGAGAAAAATGGACATTTTTCTTTCATGGCTCAAAACATTTTCTTAAATGCTTAAATAAATATAACTGGTAATGACTTTCACAAATCCTCCTGCTGAAATTGTAGTTTAATCGTGGAGTCCTGGTCCAATTAGGTGTTTAATTTCTTCTGACCTTTCTTATGCCAGACACTTTGAATAGATTTCTTTTAAATTTGATCCTTCATAGCTCAAATTCAGAAGCCTCCCCAATTCTACGGTCCAGAATAAATTAATTCGCTGACCCTTTCACTGTCCTTTGCAGCTGTGATTTGTGGAGCCTATTCCTGGTGGCAGCAGTGCTCATTATCATTGTCAATGCTGTGGTACAACAGAGCCTCATAGGCACAGACAGTGTCCAAGCATCACAAAGAGATGCTCATTGGCATTGCTGGTGGCCACATATGCACACGTCTGCACAGAAGAGCCATGTGTAAAAATGGTGGGAAACTTCACCAATTGTGCCAGTCATTAGGTTCCTTGCTTGATTTGATTACCTGATCAAAATCTGGGAAAATCTACATGGTCTCTGTCCTGATGGGGCTAGATTTTCCACATTGTGCCAGTATTTGTAGATTTTCTGGGTTTGGCCAAGTCAGTTATTAAGTATCACAACCAGAGATCAATTCAACATAGTTGGGGCAAAATCCTGGAATTCCCTCCCTAATGGCATAATGGGTGCACCTACACTAAGTGGACTGCTGCAGTTCAAGAAGGCAGCTCATCACCTTCTCTGGCAACGAGGGATGGGCAGTAAATGCTGACCAAGCCAGCAATACCCACATCCCATGAGGGAATTTAAAAAGAACAAAGTTAATGGTTTCTACATGCTAACAAATGGTATTTGCCATTAAGAACCATTTCTACTTTTGAAAAAAGCAGACCTTTCCATCATTACTCCCTCATAAGAGTAATAGCAGTTAAAAGAATTGTTTTGGGAAGAAGGGTCTAGGCCCGAAACGTCAGCCTTTCTGCTCCTATGATGCTGCCTGGCCTGCTGTGTTCATCCAGCTCTGCACCTTGTTGTCTCTGTTTTGGGAAGAATTGTGTCCTCTTGAGATTTCATCTGAAAATATGCAAAAATGCATTTGTCATTTTTTTTATTTGCTTTCTATAGTTGCACACCAGAAATGGATGATGAAAGTAGTGTTGGCTTAATGTTAAGATTGTTCGTACTGTCTCCCCTTCTAGACTGTGTCTGTCTGCAGGACTGTTACACCATCAGCGGCTGTGGGCTTGATCTCTCCGAGGGATTTTGTGGATGTTATTTTAATTAAACAATATGAAAATGGGACGATATCCTCAAACGGTAACTAGAATACACATTAGCGCTTAAAGTACTCAGCAGTGACATGTCTGCTCAAAAGCCCTGAGACTGCCTAGGAAATATCAATCAAGCCTGATGTAACAGCAGGCTGACAAGTCCCCAGGTCTGATGGACTTTATCCTAGAGTTTCAAAAAGCTGGCTAATGAGTTAAAAGATGTGTTGGTGTTAATTTCTCAAAAGTCCCTAGAGTTTAGAAAGGTTCCACCACACTGGAATGTAGCAAATATAATCCCCTCAATTCAAAAAGGGAAGGATGGAGAAAACCAGGAACTTCCGACCAGTTTGCTTGTCATCTGTTGTAGGGAAGATGTTTAAAATCAGTAATTAAGGTTATAACCGTACACTTAGAAAACTCAAGGTAATCTGGAAGAGTCCGTGAAAGAGAAATCATGTTTAATCCATTGGAATTCTTAGAATGAGTGTGCACTGTAGAAAGTGGAGCCCATTGTCATACTAAAATTGGATTTCCAGAAAACATTTGACTATATGTCTCAAAAGATTATTGTGCAAAGTAGGAGCCCATGGTGTAGCAAGTGACATACAAACATAGATAGTTAACTGGAGGGCAGAAAGCAAGGTTAGCAGGAAAAAGCCAGGCATGGTTACGTTCTGCACGGAGGCCTCAATGTAGGCCAATGACTTCATCAAGGGGAATAAAAACGTGGTAGCTAAATTTGCAGATGACACAAAGGTCGGAAAATAAGTCGTGAGGAGGACATAAAGATTGCAGACAGAAATAAAGATATTGCATGGGCAAAAAGTTACTTGTTGGAATAATAATGTGTTAAAATGTGAAGTCATTCACTTTGGCAGGAAGAACTAAAAAGCAGTATTACTTAAGTGGAGAATGACATAGAATTCTGAGATGTAGAAGTATCCAGGTGCTCTAATGCCTGAGTCACAAGTTAGTATTCAGTACAAAAGTAATTAATTGAATGATATTCTTTATCAAGAAAAGAATTGAACCTAAAAGTAAGGAAGTAATGATTCAGTTAAATAGGGCATTGGAGAAAATCATGTCTTGAAAATGGTGTGCAGCTTTGATCTCCTTATGTGCAGCTACACAAACAGTGAGCAGCAGTCAGCCATTGAGCATGCTCCAATGTTCAATAAGATGGTGGCTGATGTGATTGATTGTAACTTCACAGCCACATTCTTCTGTCACCCCCTTGTTTAAGAACATCTACCTCTGCCTTAAAAATATTCAATGGCACTGCTTTTACCATACTTTCCAAATACTCACTAGGACAAAAACAATTTGTCCTATTTGTTTTAAATGGATAACCCCTGACTTTTAAACAGTGACTCTTCCTTTAAGCATTTCCAAAAGAGGAAACATTCTCTCCATATTTACTTGTCAGGACCCCTTTATGGTGTATATGTTTCAGTCAAGTTGCCATTTGCTCTTCTAAACTCCAGTTGATACAAGACTTAGCCTGTCCAGACTTTCCTCAAGAAACTCCTTGTTCCCAATTATAAGTCTGGTAAACCTTCTCTGACCTGCTTTCAATGCATTTAAAACCTTCCTTAAGTAATGTGACCCAATTGCAGATGTGGATTTGCCAATGCCCTTGTAGCCGAATCATGACCTCCCTACTTCTGTATTTGATTCCACTTGCAATAAACAGTCATTCTATTCCTAATTCCTTGTACCTGAATCTTATTCATCACATTTTGCGATGCACTAGGATACCCAGATCCCTCTACATTTGAGCTCTCCTGTCTCTTGCTGTTTAGATAAAACACTTCTATTTCAATCTTCCTGCCAAATTGGAAATTATCACTTTTTCCCACATTACACTCCATTTGCCACATCATTGCCCTCTCACTTAACCTATCTATATCCCTTCGCAGTTCCTATGTCCTCTTCACAGCTCAATTTCCTACATATTTTTGTATTATCAGCAGGTTTGACTACCATACCTTACTTCTCTTCATCGAAGTCATATGAATAAATTGTAAGCAGTTGTGGTCTCGTAAGTGATCCTTGTGACATTGCTACATCATGCCGACCTGAAAAAGACCAATTAATGTCTTTTTGCTCCCTGTTAGCCAGCCAGTCTTCTATCCATATCAATATGCTGCCCCTACATGAGCTTTTATTTTCAGATTTCTAACCTTTTAGTACGATACTTTATCCAATGTTTTCTGGAAATTTTAAGTAGTTCATCCACGGGTTCTCCTTTTTCCATAACCTGTGTTACTCCAATAGATTGGTCTAACATGATTTTCCTTTCACAAAAATGTTGAGTCTACCTGATTTACCTTGAACTTGTTTCGTGTCCTTAAAACTTCTAACATTTTCCCTATGACACATTAAGGTAACTACCTTGTTGTTTCCTGTCGGTCTCCTCCTTTTTGAATAAAGGAGTTACGTTAGATTGGGTGATCATAAATATAACCTTCCTTGAATTCAAGAATTTTGAAAAATTAAAACCAAAACATTAACTACCCAAGTCGTTTAAGACTCTGGGATGTAGTCCTTGAAGATCCAGGCATTGTCTACGTTCAGGTCTGACATTTTACATATAAATTTATCTGGTTATTGATTTTTCTTGTTCCTCCCTCCCTTCCATTTCCTGATTTATCACAGCTTCAGGGATGTTACTTGTATCCTCTAATGAAGACTGATGGAAAATACCTGTTCAATTTATCTGCCATTTCTTTGTTTTCCATTGTTAATTTCCAGACTTGTTTACTAAAGGATGAATGCTAATTTTATTAACTCTATTTTAAGTATTTATAGAAACTCTTCCTTTTGGTTTTATATTTCTGGCTAGGTTTCTTTCATACTCCTCCTGAGTTTCTTCAGCAATTTCTGTTTTTGAATACATATCCCATTTTCCCCATTGCTGGTGCAGGTGCCCCACAAATGGGAACTCATTCCTCTCATACCTGTCTTTTAGCTATATATTCATCTCTCTAATACGATTTGCTGTGTGCCAGTTTTAATATGGTTCAGGTGATAATCCACAGTTTATTATATTTGGGTTTCTATTGAGTATGCAGAACTTCTTCCTTTTGTCCTGCCTATGTCATTGATATTCTCGCTTCTTGCTGTGGAGCTGAGTGTCAATCCCTTTTCAGTACAAGTCCCATGCTGTGTCCACATTCCTTTTTGTTCCCCAAGTTGGATGGTTTCCTGTGCCAAAGTGCCGTGATCACTTTGCTCATTCACCTTTGTAGCCTTTAATCTTGATCCAACAAGCTCAATGAACCTTATGTATTGGATAATTGCAAAGGCTATTGCTGCTGCATTCCTGCCTTCTGACCCCCCTCAGTTGCAGTCATACTCTTCTTTCCACTGACCAAATTAGACAACCCAATCTTAAAATGTGTGACTGTGTCCTGGTACAATTTAATCCAGGTAACCCCTCCCTGATGTCTTGGAGTGTCTCCAATTCGGCCAAAGCTGCTTGAACATTCGATTTTTGCTGCAGACATGTTTGCTGGGAATCTTACACACAGTGCAGCTGCAACACATCACCTGTTCTACCATTTATTAATGCATTTTGCTTAATTATTTTATTTAATTATATTGGTGTTTTTATTTTATTAACCTTGCCACCAGTTGCAATGTTATTTTGAATCTCAAAAAATAATAAATCTTAGTCACTTAACACTGAATAACTAACTTCTGTAGCAAGATAAGAGCAATTCCTGGAGGCTGAAATAGGTAGGAAAGGAAAATGCAACAGAGCACCCCCTCCCATTCTTCCACTGATTCCCTTAATCGCAAGATTCTATTGTAAGACGTAACAAATGCTCAGTTGCACAAAATTGGCCAATTTTATGTACATCTAAAACAAAAGGCCTACTTAATAAGGAACCAGTTTGAGCTGATTCTTAAGCCCAGCTGCTCTTCCAATGGAGACCTTGTTGAAAGCCCTGATTAAAGCTAGGACCTACATAATTTAAATTTGTATATTTCAGTTAAATACAAACTAGAAACAAAGTTAAATTTCCTCAGGAAATAAATGTCTTTCTTACCCATCTAGTGTAAGCACTCAGTCCTAATAATTAAGGAAGGATGCAGATGCTTGCTAGATTGATACATAAAATGTGCAAGTTGCCTTCTGAGGAAAGTGGGTAAACTGGGCTTGTTTTCACTGGAATTTAGAATGAGGGTTATTTGATTTGAAATATTTTAGATCCTGAATGATCTTAAACTGGTTATAGAAAGGATGTTTTCCCTTTGAGGGATCCAAATCTTAAAGGGCACTGTTTACAAATTAGGGATTGTCCTTTCAGGATTATGTGACTTTGGAACTTTGCCATTGAAGGCAGTTTCTTTCTGGGGAGGGGACTCAAAGATTACTGGTGTTAAATGGAGTTTAAAACAAACAGATCAGCAATGATCCCATTGAATGGCAGAGCAGGCTTGAGGGGCTCCGCTGTGTGCAACTGTCAGAATTTTGGAAGACCTGCATCTCCAATCAAATGCAGTTTCTGTCCACATTTTGCTGCTGGCAGGCAGATCGGTTAACCATCAGTGTAAATGCAGGATGGAAAACAGCCTGTGATTGGAAGAACATGGGGCAGGTGAGTGGCAACAGTGACTGAAACTGCCAGGACCGGGTGAAGGAGGAAATCCTGAGACTGGGGTTGGGGATGGCACGAAGTGAGGCTGTGAGGCATCAAGGCCACTAGTCCAGGGACTTGAGGGTTTGAGGGGGCTGCAGGCTGGTGAAGGGAATCTGTAAAGAGGAAGGGATCTGCAACAGTAGGGGGTGAGGGTCTGCAATGGGGAGAGAGCAGATTTAAACCCCTCAACAAAGGGATGCGCAGCTAACTGGGAAACAGGAAAACTGAAATAACTGAGGTAATTAATTCCTTGCTGATGAATATGGAGTCTTTCTTAAAATTGTAGAAGTTCAGGAGCCACTAATATCGGAAAATTTGGAGGTGACTATTCTGTTGTTGGATAATTTAATCTGAAAAGTTTGATTTCATAAGGATTTGCATTTTGTCACATCTCATAACATCTTAGATGCTTAGAATTTTTTAAGGTGCAGTAACTGTATCAGAGACAAGCAGGCAGCCACTTAGCTGTGACTTCACTAGTCTGCAGGCAGTGTTTAGGGGTAATGGCCTTTTGTGTGTGGAAGTGTCTGTTACTTCTTTTTTAAAAACAAATGTTTGTTGCTAACTTGTGCTAGTTTAAAGACAGGGCATTTAATGTTTTCCACAAGTGTTACAGCTTTAAATTTAATGGAGCGATTGATGATGGAATTTGGGGCAGGGGCCGGTAGCAGGAACTCTACACAAAATCTGAGCCAGAATGTAAGGTTTCCATTCAACAACTTTCATTTGCTATGAGGTTTAATTGTTCTGTGCTGTTGAAGTTTAAAGTAACAGCAATTCTTTTTGTTTCTTCACAGCTACTCATGTGGAGCACCCTAACTGTCCCCCTAAACCTCACTATGTGAGAGGGTTTAACCATCCCTGTGGATGTTTCTGTGCTCCCATTGCAGGGTAAGAGCTCTTTCAATCTATCTCGATCTTTTACAGTCGACTATTGCACAGAGTTAGTTATAGCTCCCTTTCGCCTGTATCGGAAGCTTATGAGTTCACATCCCACCCCAGGGGCTTGGCTATGTAACTTTAGGCTCCAGTGCAGTAAGGGAGTACTGCACTGTCAGATGTGCCATCATTCAGGTGAGACATTAAACTGAAGTTTGATTCTTGTCTTGGATGTGAAAGACCCCAAGGCAGTATTTTCAAGGAAAACTGGTGAGTCTTCCTTGATGCCCTGACCAATATTTATCCTTCAATTAACATCAGTAAAGGTAGATGATCTATGTTTCACATTACTTCATGTGAAGCTGGTTCAAACAGATTGCAGATGCTCATCAATCATTGAGCAGAATGAATGTTGTCAATGTATGGAGCAGGTGTTTTGATCTGCCAACATATATTTGGGATCATTAGCTTTTTTTATACCAGTATCTTTCCTGATGGACTCAGAAAAAAGCTTGATGCAACACATGAATAAGACAGGATTACCTTGCTTGACTCGAGATTTGATCTAAAAAGCTTTCTGATTCCTACGTATGGAGTGAAAATGCTTTGTGTGGATTACTTGGATCAAGTTTCAGAATCTCTCCCCAAATTGCATTTTAGAGAGCACATCCTTCCTGTAAGTTTGCAATTTTCTGTGAAAGGCTTTCATCTCATTCAGGCTACTGAGTCAGATGTCCAACGTGCATGGGCAATCCCCAAGTAGTACGTGACTACTGGAAACCTTTGTACTGGATACAGCACAACAGGGATCAGGGTGGATCACCAATTTCAGAGCACGCTTAACTCATTTGGCAATGACCTTGGACAAACGTTTTTAGTCCCCTTTCAGCAGGGAAATGAGATACTACTTTCTAATTTTCTCCCTTTGGTCCCTATTCTTGTAAATGAAGGTGATGATGCCTTTGCTCATGCATTCTGACATACACACCTTTGCCTAGTTTGCCATTTCCATTAGGAGTCTGGATGTGGCAGCCAGGGTGTACAGCAGTACCAACGATGCAGTTGAAATCACTACGCAGAATGACTTTTTTGTTTGACACTTGTACAAATGATTTAGATGAGAATATAAAAGGCGTGAAAAAAAGTGACCTAAGATTGCAAAGAGGTCCTGATCAATTGGCTGAAGAGTGGCAGATGGAATTATAGAATATCATAGAATTCCTGCAGCGCGGAAACAGGCCCTTCGACCCAACAAGTCCACACCAACCCTCAGAGCATCCCACATAACACCACTAATTTACACATCCCTGAACACTAAGGGCAATTTAGCATGGCCAATCCACCTAGCTTGCACATCTGTTGAAGGAAACCGGAGCACCCGGGGGAAACCCACGCAGACACAGGGAGAATGTGCAAACTCCACATAGACAGTTGCCCGAGAGTGGAATTGAACCTGGATCCCTGGTGCTGTGAGGCAGCAGTGCTAACCACTGAGCCACCGTGCCGCCCATGAATTAATTTGGATAAATGTGAAGTTTGTTTTACCAAAACGCAATATAAGGGTAGGACTTGTACAATTAAAAGTAGGGCCTTGGATGGTATTGTAGAGCAGGACCTAAGGGTTTATTTATATAATTCTTTGAAGTTTGTAACACGTGTAGATAGGATGGTTAAGAAGGTGTTTAGCATGCTTGCCTTCATTGCTCATTCCTCTTTGAATAAATGAGTTAAAATATTATGTTGAGGTTGTAAAGAGCGTTGGGGAGGCCTCATCTGGAGTACTGTGTCCAGTTCTGGTCACCTTGTTATAGGAAGATTATTATTAACCTGGAGAGCATTCAGAAGAAATTCACCAGGATGTTGCCAGGAATGGAGGGTTTTTAGTTATGGGGAGAGGCTGGATAGACTGGGACTTTTTTTCACTGAAGCAGAGGAGGTTGAGGGGTGAACTTCGAGTTTTATAAAATCACGAGTGGTATAGATAAGGTGAATGGCAGGTGCCTTTTCCCTAGGGTTGGGGATTTCAAGACTAGGGGGCATATTAAGGTGAGAGGACAAAGATTTTAAAGACCTGGAAGCAGTTTTTTTTTTTAACAGTGGTTTGAGTGTGGAATGAACTTCCAGAGGAAGTGGTGGATGTGGGTACAGTTACAACATTTAAAAGACATTTGGATAAGTAAGTGAATAGGAAATGTTGGAGGGATATGTGTTCAATGCGGGTAGGTGGGATTAGTTTAGTTTGGGAATATGGATGCCGTAGACTGGTTGGACCAAAGGGTTGTTTCCATGCTGTATGACTCTGACTGGCCTGGCCACCATCAGAATCGGGTGAGAGCAGCTGCAGTATGACACAATGTTTGCCCTGTAGAGCCGGAGCATACATGTTAATGAACTGGAAGCAGGTGTTTTTGTGTATTACGTGGCCACTAGGAGGCAACTACCCCACCACTCCCTTAACTTCAGCAGTGGTGAATTTACATTGCCATAGCAGAATCCCCAGGCCAGAGTAAAGAGAATTGCTTGATTTTTGACTATAATTTTTGCTGAAGTGCTGAATCCCAAACTCCTGCAGAAACAGCAGGTCACTTGAGGCCTGAATTAGGGTTGCACCATATGAAAACAATGTGGTGTGTACAGTTTATGCCTGTAGCACTCATCGAATGAAACCAGGAACTGTGTTTAACTCAATGTTACTGTTTCTGTCACCATTGTTATACATGTGTTCCACTGCACACAAATAATGGAATTAGAAATTGTTCATAAATTGACATTTTGTTGTGTGTACGCATTGACTTTCCATCTGGTACAGGTTTTCGTCATCAGTGTGTGAACTCCATTTTGTATGAGAGTTTTCCTTTATTGTAATTTGGTATCAGATGATTGCAGATTCTTACTAAAATCAAATAAGTCATAATGTGATTAAATTGCTATCTTGTGAGTTTACCAACTATAGCAAGATTTTTATCTAGCATTCTACCAACAGGCACACTCTAGGAATCGGGATTTCTGCGAGGTCTGTTTTGACTAGAGATGTCTCATCCCCCAGAAGCTGGCAGTAACACTTGTTCCCCATCAGTCTCACTCCCACACAGCCACGAGAGATTGTCAAAGTTGCTGCTGTGGTCTTCCCTCACTTTGTTCTCAGCCTGGCACTGTTACTGCACCATCTTGCTGCCACGCATGAGAATTGCGTTCTGCCATGCTTATAAGACTGCAACAAACAAAATGTCATTATGAGATCATGTAGGAGTTTTTTGGTTGTGGGAAATGCAGAACTCTTGGATAACTGCTGTTATTGATTAACTGATCCCACCCATTTTGCTGTGCATGCCAAATAATAGATATTTTACTGTTGTTTGGCCAGGTTATGCCAACCTCAAGTTAGTTGAAGTAGCTCCAAATCTGTCATGAATGCAATCAATTAGATCCAAGTAAACAATGATCTTAATTTCTGTTCTTGAGAATCATTTGCCATATTTCAAACCAATTTGTAACAGGATGACCTTTCACTCTGTAAAACTGTTGTTTGGATATTTGTAAATTATCAGAATCGGATATTGAAAATGTATTCCTTATCATTTGTATAGTTGAAGGTTAACCTCTGGTACTGTCAATTCATTCAACTTGAGTGAAGATTATAGGGCAGATAAAAATTTCGAAATTTACCTACTTGGGGGGGGGTGGGGGGGGAGAGTAAAGCCAAGGGCAAGTGCAAGGCAAATTGCTGGGTGCCAGCAAGTGTGTTCAGATTAATTTATATGTGTGTGTTTCATTTTCAGAGAGCCACTGAAGACTCACTTGACTATGTTCTTTCAAACTGACCTTGGTGGGTATCTCCCACAATCCGTGTTGGAGTCTTTCTTTCCATCTAGTATGGTTGAGTTTTACAGCAATCTGGCAAAAGCCGTGAAGATTTTTAAAGCTTGATGAATCTCCCTCTACTTTTTTTTCCATCTACCTTTGCCCAGAAACCTCTGATTTAGTTTTATTGCACTGAATGTTGTCACTTAGTTTTGATTTGAATGTATTTTGGACTCTCTGTTTTCTGCTTTTTAAAAATGTAAACATTTCTACAGTTATCTTATTGGGGGTGGGGGGGAAGAAAAAGATCAGTGAAAAGCAAATGAAGTAATTTCAAGCTGTACAGTGAAGGTGTAAAGGAGTGTGCTTGTATATATTGGCATTGAAAATTTAGTTAAACGAAAATGGTCTGTTCGAAATAGAAGCATTCAATTATTTTTCATTAATTGGGCATCCAGTAGAAAATTTCTTCATGTACTGAGTTTGAGTCCTAAACTAAAGTTAATAATCTGCCCAACAATGAATAATATATATTTGCATTATTCTAATTGTTTAAAGCGCAAATGGATATTCAGCAAATGATGCCCCTAATTTAAGTGAGGTGTTTGTGCCAAATGGTAAAATGAGGGATGATTTAGAGCAAAGTATTACTGCCATTGGAGTACAGCATGTCCTTCAAAATGTTCTGCCATTATAAAAACATTTTTTAAAGTTTGATTTGTAACTCTTTTTCAAAGTCTCAGTGCAAGCAGTATCCTCTTCCTAAAGCTCCGTAACAGGCATAACTGGTGTTGAAAGAGAGAGTTGGGCAAAACAGTTTCAAATACTAGCGTTAGTCCCTTCAAAAGGTAATAGTACTGTACTCCTGTTCCAAACCTTGCTGAGTGAACTTAAAATATTTAGTAGCAGATGTCCAAAATTGGTGTTCTTCAGGAAAGGACAATGCTGTAAGCACATTATGGAACACGTTCATCTCTTCAAGCAACATGCTTTCCAGTAATTTGCTACCTTGCATGTAAATGGTAAAAATAATATTGTTATTTGTGGAAACATGTTCCATGCAAGATAATCTTCACTTGACCAAATGTTTTAAAAGTTTTGCATCTCTCGAAGTGATAAATCCTGGTGTTGTTTATATTTATTTTAATTGTTTGTTTGCTTTTAAGTTAATAAACCCCGTCCTTTTAAACTGCTACTTTTTCCTAAGGGATGGGGAATCTGTTTGTGACGCATTCCAAGTATACAGAACTTGGTTGAATTTTACATTCAACCTTTTATTGAAGAAAGGAACTTAAAACTTAACTTGCACCAGAGTTTAAAATGGGCATTAGTTCTGTGTACACAGTTAAGCCAAATGATATGATGCTTGCACAGCTCATTGTTAACAATGTACTGTATGTTTATGTAAAACCATTTATTGACAGCTTTTTTTTGGAGTCTGAGGCATTTTAGTATATAATTGTGATTTGAAATTGGACTTTGTTTTTACTTGCACTTTTTAAATGGGTTATGATGTTGGATTTTGTATTATTGGTAAATTGCTTATTTATTTGAAAGCATCTCTTTTCCTAGTTTCACAAATTGAAGAAACTGTTGTCCCTGTTACTGTGTGCTTGGCAATTCACGCTGGAAAGATGCATTAAAAAAAATCCCTCCTCAATGCTTTCAACCTGACTGCTGATTGCAACCATTGAACATCCTGTTGGTATTAGTGTACGTTTTGGACACCATGTGAAAAGTCTTCAAATGTGTGTTTTTGGTGTCTACTGTGCCATTTGAAATGTACAGAGTATTGGAAGGAAGGAATTAGTTGAACTAATGTTAACTCTCAAGGTGCTTCTTCAGCGTGACAGGAATTATGTGATGGTAAGCTGTATTTATTGCTTGATCTGAAATCCCACCTTTCTTACAATGTATCCTTATTACAGCAAACATTGTAAATTTTGAGATTTTAAAGGTTCAAATACATTTTTAAACCAATGCCAAAAGTTTAAAAAATGATTTACTTAAGAAAATTAAAACCACTTTCCAATGAACTTTTTGGCCTTTTGTCTTTGGTATGGAGGATGAGAATAAAGATCCAGGCATGTGAAGCAAAGTAGGAATAAATCAAAGGGAGGAATTTTAGGCTAATATAATTAATTCAAAAGAAGTAATGGAGAAGGTAATAAGTCTGAAAATAGACAGGTCTCCACGTAGGGAGATTGAGGTCAGTAACAAAGTTGATGTTCTGGTTATGATCTTCCAAATCTTCCAAACTCCCCCACCCCACCTCTCCCACACCCACACCCCCACTCCCAATCTTATAAGTACATTTTTGAACAATTCAATCATGTTTATTTATCCAGAGGCTAGGGATTTCACTGGCAAGGCCATAGTTGTCCTTGAGAGTCTAATGAACCTCTGACCACTTAAAATTAGTCTCAAAGGGATTCCAGTCTTTTGACTCTCTGCTTTTGAGGTGGAAACTAATGTAGTAGTCAGTGGAATAGAGATTTTTTTTGTTTTGTAACTTTTCAGATATTTAATAGTCTCACGAAAAAACTTAAACATAGTAGGACATTGAATTGTAGTTAACTGATTTGGAAGGGGTAGCATAATGTAACCAGCAGCAGTGCTTTCCTCCTCTTCCCCCCCACCTTTCACTAGAGATGAATCAAATGAACTTACATCTAAGTTTGATACTTATTTTAGCTGAGAATAAAAAGTTGCAAAGGGACTTTTGACATGTGAAGCCCACTGAGTTTGCAGCTAAGAAAATATTCTCCAACAGTGAGAAACTTGGAACTGGGATTTTTGTCTGAGTCAGAAGGCTGTGGGTTTGAGTCCTAACAGCAAGACTTGCTGACTGTGAAAGAAGGCAGCAGATGCAGGCAGGCCACACACATTACCAATCCAGCTAAATGGGACAGTTAGTGATCAGCCAGTGTTTTGGTACCCCATGCAACATAGGAAAAGTGAAACGAGAAAGCAAGAGGGAGATACTGCAAACTAGAGTACAAAGATTTATGTGTTCAAGATAAGAACTAACTAAAATCTAGATGTTCACAAATTAACTTGAACTAATTGATTTTTGACCTCTATCTTAAAGGGGTGAAAACCTTGGTACAACTTGATTGAGCTGAGATTAGACCTTCCAGCCTCTAGGGTGCTATGTCTTTTTTACCAGGTACTGCACCATAGGAATATTGACCTTGGTGGGGGTGCAGTGCAGACTCATCAGAATGGTCAGCTGAAAATAATTAAATCATAAGGGTAAATTTGAAAATTTGTGGCTTGTCTTATCTTCAATGTGGAAGACCAGAGAGAATCCAACTGGAGTGTTTCAAAAGATTAGAGAATTTGATAAGGTAGTTAGCAACTATTTTCTTGTGGGGGAGTGGGCGGAGAGAAGGAAATGTTCACAAGACCATAAGACCTAGGATGAGAAGTAGGCCATTCAGCCCATTGAGTCTGTTCCACCAGTTAGTGAGAGGATGGCTGACCTGATAATCTTCAACTTCCCTTACCTGTCTTTTTGTATAACCCTTGATTTATTTACTAATCAAAAATCTGTGTAATGACTAACAACAACAGATTCACAACCCTCTGACAGAAGAGTTCCTTCTCCATCTTAAATGTGTGTTCCCTTACTCTGAGATTATGCAGTCTGGTCCTAGACTGTCTCGCAAGCAAAACAACCTTTCCACATCTGCCCTGTCAAGTTCTCGAGGAATCTTACAATGGTTGTGACCTCAAAACCAGAGCCAGGTCATTCAATGGTGATATCGCACAGAAGACCAGTGGAAAGCCAGAATATTCTCTCAAAACACTTGAGATTAAGTCAATGGAAAGTTTCAGATTTGAGATAAATGTTTCTTAAACCTTATTAAAGGTTCCAGAATCAACAGCGATAAATGGAGATTATATGTAATAGATTGTCTTATTTAACACAAGACCAGACTAGCTGCTGAATAATGACCTGTACCTATGTTCCTCCCATGATTCAACAAATGAGGAGAGCTAAGTGATTCAGTAAGTTGAATAACCTTTGGATTTCTCACAGGTTCCAATCACTACATTTAAAATATTTAAGATGGCTCCAATGGAACAGTTTGTAGGATTTTTTTTTTCCTGTACTGGCTATTATCTTAGCACAAATATCAATGAGTAACGAGGCTGCATTTGAACAATGCCACACTTCTTATTGCTCTTTAATCACATACAGGGTAGAATTTTATTTTGGGGGAAAAAGCGAGACGAGATCAGAACCCTATGATATACGTTGCCTGTTTAATGCCTGTATTTTGCCTCCTGTAGACATCCTCAAACAATAGCAAAACTTCAACCTTTGAAGTGATGGAGGCATTTTCTAAATTCTCAAGCTACCTTTTTTTAAAATTTTTGTCTAGGGACATAGTCTTAGAACTTGTTTACTACCATTCAAGTCTATACAAAAAAGTATTCTTGGCCACCAAACTAATTTTCCGGGAAGTACCTGTTAACTGGTTTCTGTTGCCTTACATTCCCAAGATCAAAAAGCAGAGAGCTGCAAAAATGGCAACAGGATTTGTGTTTGACATGAGTAAGCCTTGGTTTAGTTGTGGCACTCTCGCCTGTAAGGCTGATGATTCAAGTTCCACACCAGAGATTCAAAGAATAGGTTGTCATCGTAGTGCCATCAATTGGATTGGGCGTTTAAACCATATACATCTTAGCACCATTTGGGAGTAGTATAAGAAGGCCCTCCCTTGCCAACATTTCTGCCCTGACTCAAACCTGAATCAGGTTATTTGGTCATTATTTGCAATGCTGTATGTGATTTGGCTGCTTTATTGTCTACATTTAAAAGTACTTGATTGGTTGCAAAATGCTTTAGGACATACAGAGATGAACAGTACAATTTCGTTTTGGTATTATTTCATTTCAGTGCTGCATTAAGGGTCAGGATTGAACCCAGTCTGGAGTTTTTATTTTGTGTGATTGGTACAAATTCAGATCAGAAATCAAAACATTGAATCCCTTTCAACAGGGTTATCTAGTCTGAATCTTAATGCACCAGAGCCCTGATTAGTGAGGTACAAAAGCAATGTTCAGCAGATCAATCTGCATCTGTAAAGGACAGGTTAACATTTGAGGTTTTGTTTTAAGTTTCTCTGAAACAGTGATGTATTCCTCTTCAGAATTCCTACCCTATCTTAGCATTTCTATCATTTCTCTTTTTTTTGCTCCAGCAATCCAATATTTCCCATTTATTTTATCCTAACTAGGGGATTGTTACATTAACCTGGAACAGGATGGAGAGTTTTGTTAAGCTGTAAAATTCCTCATGAATTATTTGTCTATCTTAGAGTTGGCTGCAACAGTCAGTTTTCATTCATTATATTGCCATTTACCGCAGTTCAGAAATAAATTGGGCAGGCTAAATAACATTTGTATTCAGCTTGCATTTAATGTGGAAAATTTTCTCAAGGTGCTTCACAGGCACAAATTGGATTTTCAGTGAAAGGAGGATGTGTGGAAGGAAGTGAAAGTGGTAGGTTTTGAAGAAAGGATGTGGAACGGGAGAGGTGTGGTGGGGCTGGGAAGGCAGGGTGAAGGATAGAACAATGGGTCACAGGTCTAAACAATTAAAAGCCCAGCTGTTATTGTGGGACAGTAACCAAAGGGGACAGGGGTTACACAAAGACAATGCTGCACGAATGGAGAACTTTGTGGCAAGAATAAAAAAAACAAAAACAAATTGCTAGAAAAAGCTCAGCAGGGCTGGCAGCATCTGTGAAGAGAAATCAGAGTTAGCATTTCAGGTCAGGTGACCCTTCCTCCGAGCAGGATGAAATATATAGTACAGGTAGAAGTGTTTTGAATGAGTTTAGTTAATAGAGGGTGGAATTTGGCAGCAGTAGAAGTAGGCATTCTGTTTTGTAATGGAGATGAAAAATGGTCAGAAATTTTGCAGTTGAAGTTGCACACTATGAAACAGTAGGCAAAGTACTTATTGAATTTCTGCTTTTTTGGATAGGATCATGGTTATGTATTAGCACTTTGTGAGCATCTACGTTGTGTACCTGCGATAATACAACTTTTATTTGGGAATTAGTTCATAAAGTTTTTGTGTTGTTTGCATTAATAGTAATTGCGCACAAACTTAATTATGCAGGAGTGTAATGAGCCGAGGCAAGACCTCAATCTGACAGTTGCCCAGCATACACTAATAGATATGGGGAATAGTGAGTGTATGCGAGAGCTAGGACCAAGCCTGGATTTTTCACTATCTGACTCTGCTTGCTACAGACGGATAAAATGACTTAATAGAGATAACACCTCAATCTGTCCACAAGAAGAGCTAGTTTAAAAGATTAACAATCGCAGTGGAAATTCTGTGGATATTAGTATGTAGTCCACATTGTAGGTTAACTGAATTACGTGAAAGAGATGACATTACATTAAGTTTATAAGGTCCTTAGTTGGTTATTAGGGGCTTTATTCGGCCTCTTGTGATGCTTTGGCTGTGCTAGAAATTGGACCTATCCTCCTGATTGTTGCTGAGCAGGGCCCATCGGGCAGGGACTTGATGACATTCCAAGCGTCAAAACGGCTCAGACCTTGCAGGATGGTGGTGTTTACTTGAAGTAGCTCATCTCCAGGCTGGATAATGTTGCTCTGATCAAGGGCTCCCCCTGTAAGGTGCAAGAAAACATATGAAAATTACCTTTGCTAAATTCAAAACAAGCCTCTGAAAATGCAAGGTGAAACTACACAGATTTGACAGCATGCTTTACAAACAATATTAAAGACAGCCAGGTATAGCTGTATGCAATAGATTCACCGAGTTCCTGAGCTCATTTGTAACTATGGGAGTGAGCCATTGTATTTTCAGGTATTACTTCCATCCACCACTCACCCAAGGGACAGCTGGGGAAGCCACGAAGGAAAACAATTAACAAAACTTCTGGACAATGCATACAAAATGGTATGATATAGAATGATCTAGGTAAATAAGCTGATCTCATACCCTTGCAAAAATGGTAGTGTACAATTAACTCACTGGATGAGG